TATATATATATATATATATAGGAACCATAAATGGAAGCGGAGAATCTATAGAAAGCTTTTCCTCCACGTGTGGTTGCGTTAGGGGTTGCATGTGAAGCTGGCTTTAGTTGGTTGGCCCCCAAAACCAAATCCTAATATAATTTCTTCTTCATGTTCCATCCCAACACATAATTCATTTAAATAATATAAATAAATTTCCGGTTTAAATACTAATAATAATAAATCTAATATTATGTTTAAACTCTTAAAAAATACACGAATTGTTTTTTCGTAATTAAAAAATTATACATTTTCAAATAATTCCAAAAACAACAAAATTACTAGAAAAATTGAAAAAATGAAATACAGGTCTAAAAAACTTATGTATTAATGTAAGAGTTAAGAATAAGAATAATATATACATGTATAATCTTTATTCCATGTTCATTTCTGGTTTATGCAGCAACAATCTTACATCAGAGATATTCCCATAAAATTGTACGTATATATATATATATCCGTATATGGTTGAAATTACAATGCAAATAAAAATATATATATAAACTCAGCATATTAAACCCAAAAAAAAAGAGAAGAAAAATTACAAAGGGAAGAGGAGAATATCAGCGCCGGCAGCGAGTAATGGTGCTGCAGCCGCGGGAATAAGGGTTGGCTTGAGCGCCACGTCGGCAGTTGTAGTACGACGCGCCCCGTCTCGAGCATGGAACACTGCCGCGCCTCAGCGCTCCGTAGCTGATGTACCTCCTCGTCGCTAAAATGCGCCGGCTCGTCTCCGATTCCATCTCCATCTCCATCTCCTCCGACGCATCCGATATTTCTCCGCCGTATAAGAGATCTCCGTCTCCGGCGGAGATCGAGCACTGGGCCATTGAGCCGAGGCACTTCGTCTCGATCGGGAAAAAATCTCCGGTGAATCCTCCGACGGACGCGGAGGCGGCGGACCTCTGGACGGAGAGGATCGCCATGACAGCGAAGATCGCCGCCGCGGTTGGGCCGGAGCTTCCGCAGAGTCTTCCCATTCTCTCTCTCTCTCTCACACCCTGTGACTGCGAGTACGAAGTTTGAAGAAAGAGAGAAGCAAAAGGTATAAAAGAGGGAGAAGAAGGAGAAATGCCACTGGAGTTTGGAGGTATTTACGAAAACTGCCACTTGACTTTAACATGATTGGGAAATACATGGTAGTACATACACACAGGTGCAAAAGTGGGTGATTTGGCTTGAGATCTAAGTATGTTTTAATGTGCTTTTAATTAAAGTGCTAAATCTATATATATTAATAAAGATGTTTAAAGAGATTTGGTGAAGCCACATCATCCTCCATGTCATTTTATCTACGTGGTATTTTTTTTTTGTTATTTAAAATCTTCATTATTTGTATATAACATATAAAAAATTAGTTTAAAGTACATAAATAATTAGATTCCACATCATTATCTATGTCATTTTTTTATTTTTTTTAGTTATTTAAAGTCTTCATTATTTATATATAACGTATGAAAAATAAATTCAAAAAAAAATAGGTGACACATAAATAAAAAACAAAGAAACATATCATTTTTTATATATATGGCTGATTATTTCCTTTTTTATATTAATTATATTTATGATATCGATATGATAAAACATATAGATCTTTATTCATTTTTTATATCTTTATTATTTATATATTTCATATGAAAAATAAATTTAAAAAAATAGGTGACACGTAAATATAAAATAAAGAAACATATCATTTTCCACATATATGGATGGTTATTTCCTATTTTATATTAATTATATTTATATAAAATTTATTGATATCGTTATGCTCAAGCGTATAGATATTTTTTCATTTTTTATAATCAATTTTATCAACTCTTAAATTTGTTTATTTTTTTGTTATAATCTCATAACGATTTTTAAAATCATATAAAAATAAAGGACACGAAAAAAGATGTTACGTCCCTTCATTACCCATTTCATAAATACGTATTATCTCACCACTTTCCATGTTTAAAAAACGTTCAAGAATAGAAATATATTGGTCTACCAACATAATAAATATTAATTTAATATGCCTTTAAAACCATAATTGTTATTTATTATTTATATGTAACTGATATTTGGTGGGTACAAATATTAAAAATAATTAAAACAAAAAAACGGATCTTTTTAAAATATTATTTATTCTTATTACTATATATAACTTCTTATTGTGTTTCGATCCATGTTCAAAATATTATGTTCGTCTGTGATTCAATATTTTTGGAGCCTACAATATGGCGTCGAGAACGATTAATATCATGCATCACCAAGGTTAACTACAAGCAGCTACGCATTCAGCGTTTGTTTGATTTTGACTTTCTCTATGTTGAGTATTTTCCTCTTACAACTTTGCTTAAATAAGAATTACAATGTCTTATTTAGTTTCTAGGTCTATTTGACCGTTGGATTTATTGTGAAGGAGGTAAATTGGATAATAATGTCATTGCCATTGCCTCATGGGACGAGACGAGTAGTGATCGGCCGAGACGGAAGCGAACATAGAAGGATGGTTATAGGCGGGGCGGGGCCGTTGGTTAACGAGCTTGACGACGCCGACGAGATTTAAATCGAGGAGGAAGGGTGGAGGAAAGGTCGGAGAGGAGGGGAGACGAGGAGGGAGAGAGAGAACGGGAATGAGAAACGAAAGCCAATAGAGATCTCAGGAAGATGTGGAGCAACTGGATTTGCCTGGGAAACGGCGGCGTTCGCCGTGAGGATGCGGCCGAGGAGCGTCGACGGACCCATTTCTTGTCGATGAGATCTGGAGATGACGAGGAAAGAGAAAAAATTAAAAGGAAAGAGCAAAAATGAGCGCATAAAGTGACGTCGTTTTACTGCTCGACTAAAAGAAACAATATCGTTGAATAGAAATTCAAAAACATGTTCTTACGGAAACCTTATCTATTAAATATGTGAACTTTTTCCAATATGAATTGTTCATGTAAAATATGTATACAAAAAGATTATTAATTTTAATAAGACAATATGAGTGTAACAATATTTTATTTTTATTTATTTATTAGAAATAATTTTATTTTAGTGGAATAATATCTGTCATAAAAAAAATAAATTTTTTAACCAAAAAATTTTATGATTCTAAAGTAAACAAAAAATAGATTGTAAATCTAATTTTTTTTTTAATCTAATATTGTCGCAAATAATATTTAATTAATAAGAATAATGAAAAATTCTATAAAGCCTATGATAGACATATATATATATGTGTGTGCATCTATGTATGCATATTGTATGTATATGTATATGCATATATAGGTTGTAGTATATGTTTGTATTATGCATTATATAAATGTGTATTTATTTCTTATATATATGACCATTTTTTTCCAGGTTTTCCTGGACTATCAAGAAGACCATGGATCTCAAATTTAGGAAGTGTTTTGCCTCAAATGTTTGCTCATTATTCTTACGTCTCTCATATTCATTACAGTTTTGATGAATCAATATAATTAATCATTTCCGTATATATTATATACATGTATGTTCCGAGAATTGTTTCGGATTCAACTAAGATTTTTTCTTTGACTTGCTCTTTTGTAGTTTTATCCAAAAATTTCTTTCTTATTTTGTTTTGGTAATTCTTATCTTTCTCCAATTACTATAAATTTGCGCAAATATATGCATGCACATATATTTTATTATTAAATGTATATTTGATTTACCTAAATCCAATTTGACAACAAACACATACAAAAATGTGTATTCAAAATTTAAATGATAGGAATTTCTACCTCCTATATTACCCTACCATGCAACATCGGAAGAAACATGCCACATATTATTTATACATAATATATATAGAAATTATAAAAAAATTATGCAGATTTTAAATTATATATTATTGATTTATATTCTTAATAGAATTAATATTAGTGTTATAAAGTTAATTATAGTTTCCTGGTAGGATTAAGTTTATTAGTGAGATTTAAACTATATATTATATATTATTGGAAAAATCTCATATAAATGCACAGTTTCGAGTCTAACGACGTTTATTATCACATTTTATGTTAAATTTTTGCTGAGTTAGATGGTAAGTCACTAATATTTTTTCACATAGAATTTACATGTTAAAGACCAAAATCACAAAATTAGGGTTCATTATCTTTTGTGAATTGTCAATAATTTTAGGAGTTTGAATACTAAATTGGAACAATATAATAGTTAAGGTACTAAATTTTCAAATTAATTGTTCAGAATTTATAATTTATATGACACATTTTAAAGAGTTTGATCTATATAGGATTTTCTCTATATTATTTGGTTGCATCACATTATTGTGTAGATCTTGATAATGTGCTACACATGTGCGTAAGTATATTCATGTCTACAAATATGGAATGTATTTTACAAATGCATTTTGAATCGGACTTCCGGAATATGGTTGACAAGCAAATAATATATATATACATATATATATATATGAATCCGTATATTGAAAATATTATTAAAAATCACATATAAAGAATTAAAATTTTATAAAATTTTCAATTAAATATTTGAATTCTACAATTTTCATATAAATATCTGAATTTCTCAAAAATCTTACATAAATATTAGATTTTTAAAATTTTCTCATATAAACCTACAATTCAGATCTTACATAAATATTAGATTTTTAAAATTTTCTCATATAAACCTACAATTCAGTTAATTTTTAAATAAAAATAGTCAACGCCATTAACGAATTTTAGATTTATTTGGAAATCTTTTAAAATTCTACTTATTTCTACATGATTTTTGAAAAGCTAAAATTAAAAAATTTATTTGAGAGTTTTATAAGAATTAGGTATTACAGAATGATTAAAAAAACATATATGTATATAAATAATATAATTTTGAATACATAAAATTATGTATGTATGCATGTCTATATATATGAATATATATGTAATATATAACATATATATATGTAATATATAACATATATATATATATACATGTAACTTTGTATATATATGTTTATAAATTTATGAGTGTATATATATGTATTTTATATTATATTTATACATATTCTATTAATAGATTTATTAGTATATCCGATCCATACAAATATCATGTTATTCGTATCCGATATAAAAATAAAAAAATGAGGATTAAAAATTAAAAAAAAAAACAAAAGCAAATAAAATATATAATCCGTCAAAATAAAAAGGATGTTCAAATTCAAATTACATAATATAAACCTTCTAAATCAATCCAATACAAGTCTCACATATTCCATCTAAAAAAAATTCACAAGAATAATAAGTTCCACGAAACAAAAAAAAAACATTCTAAAAGAACGATGAGTTCCACACAATTTTGATCACTTATAAGTAGAAATGAGATCAAAACAAAAAAAAACACACAAAATTCAGATCTAAGTAACTAAGCTTATTAGTGAAATAATCTGATTGAAAATTTAAACCACAAAGAATGCAATCGAGTCTCACACACATATACACAAAAAATAATGCCCACATCCGATTTTGAGTCGAGAAAAATATAATGAAGCGCACAAATCGTAAACATAGATCGATTATGAGTTCATTGTAAAATATAAGAGTGGAGAACACATGTCTCCTAAGCTAACGAAACCTCCAAGTCCCGATTCAGAAGGTTCAAAAATGGAAAAAATATAGAAAAAATGTTTTGAGAACGTACCTGATAGAAAATCACGGCAGAGAGGTTGATAGAAGCTCAAAGCACCAGCAAAAATGGGGATTCTTCAGCAGAGAGAGGAATAGAGGGGGAGAGGATGAAAAAACCCTACCAATTTTTTTTTATAAAGATGTCCTTATATCTAAACTAATCTAGCAAATTAACCATATATTATTAATATGACTAAAAAGTACATATGGAAGACAGATAATTTTATTTTGATATTTGTATCTAATTCGTATCCAATTAATATTGTGAAACCAATATCTGTATCCGATCATTGAGCCCACATATCCGAATTTTGGGTTCGGATACAAATCGAACAACAGATCGGATAAGTTTTTCCGGATATTATATCCACCCTATCTACTCATAACTATTAATAATTAT